CATTGAGGGAGGTGAATGATGGAGGCAGGCTTAAAGCAAGCTGGCACTATGGATCGGTCCAGCAAGGTGTTAAAATGTCTGTGAGGACTCCAGCCAGCTGACCTGTGTGTGTGTGTGGGGTGGGGGGCGGGGGTGTCAGTTTTTGTTTAATCATTTCTGATCAGCAGTGACCGGCTGCAGCTCTGCCTCCTCAGGATGCAGCAGCAGAGGGCTCGTTTCAGAATGCATGGTTGGTTGATGTCCTGTTAGATAAAAAGCTGCAGAAGTACAACGTGCCTCTCAGTTCATTAAACCTGTTTTTCTGTTCATCTCTAATATGACCACACAGGGAGCTATTAAACATCACCAAGAAAGCGGTAATATTCAACCAATCCTCCCGGAGAGCGCCCTGATCAGTTTAACATCTCATCTGTGTCTTCATACCACTGTTCACACACAGCCCATAGCTACTGAAGCTATTGCCATGACAACAGTGGGTCTCATCCCTGTAGGCAACATGGTAGAGTTTTTATTTCCCTTCACCTCTTACTGTAAGCTCCTCATAGTATTTGACTGACTGATACGACCTGTGCTGAGATGGCTGTCCTTCATAAGCACGTTAGAGACGCCCACGTGTTTCGCTAAAAAGGTTGGAGACTCATATCTTTGTGTTAATCTCAAGGAAAAATTAGCTATTTGAAAAAAAAAAAACATAATATTATAAGAGAAATGCAACAAAAAGACAGTTCTTTGTCAAGATTGCTGTTTTTCTTTTTTCCTTTGTAAGGTCACCAGTTGGAACAAAAAAATAAATAAAAAATATGCTGAATATCTGTGCAGGTGTGGAGTGGGTAACAAGTTTGGTTCTAAATCATTTGACTAATAACAGTCAGAGAACCTCCTATGTGGAGAAAACCCTGATCTAGTATGGAGGGAATTTTGTTCCACTATGTTTTCCTTAAAAAGTCATAAAAGGCATTGAATTCTTCAAAATAAAACTAAGGCCTTGTGTGGTATTAAAATGTCTTAAATCAGTCTTTCGTAGGTCTTAATTTTTAAAACACCATAAATAGGATTATTTTTATTATGATTTATTTTTGTAATCTAAATAAAACATTAAAATTGACCCTTTTTAAAAATTATTTTAAAGAATAATGGCTCGCCATTATTGGTTCTGTCCCGATAGCGCAACCAATAAAAGCGTTGTTGCGAACGGGACATTTGGGAGATGCGCCATTTACTTTTTGTCTGGAAAATATGAGCAAGTGTAAATGTAACAAAGAGTTTTCTCCATGGCTAAAACCAGGGCACATACATGAGGCACAATGGATTTTGTGCAAGAAGTGGTTCAAGCTCGGAACGATGGGAATTAAGGCAGTGGAGTCGCATGCGAAGCAAGAAACACAGCGTCAAAATGGAGTTACAGAGAAACAGCCGGTATTTCTCAGTTCTGTTCCATCCTTGTCTCTGCAACGCCTCCACTTATCACCAAATCAAACAGACTAAGAAAACGATACAAAGAAAAATAGCTGCAAAAAAGACTTAGCACTGGTTATGCTGGGGCTTTAAAACTGATTCAAAGTTTGTGAATTCAGTTAAATAATTGTTCAAATATATCTGTCATTTGTGTGTTTTTAGCTTTCTTCCTGTATGGGAAGCTTTTCAAAATTTGAAACATTAGTGCAGTGGTTTATGTTAAAATAAACCTTTGGGTTAAGTTGTCGCAAGCAGGTTTTTCTTGTGTTTCTTGTGAATTTGGTCTTAAATTTTATTTCAAGTGGCATTAAAAAGTCTTGAATTTAACTTGCCTTATGCTGTAGGAACCCTGTGAAAATAATAATACTGAAAAATATATTCTAAAACATTAAAGCTTAATAAAACTTTTAAAAAAACTTTACTGTTTTCTCAGATTTAAATGTTTCATTTTTTATCATATTTGACTCTCTCAGATTTGACATTGTTTTCTAGATTTTTTTTTAATATTCAAATGCAATCATTTTTATTTGTCTCTATTTGACTATTTTATAAGTCATATTGACTATGGGTAGCTGATCTGACAGAACAGCGGGCCTGAGGCAGCTGCTGCTGGGGATTCCCAGTGACAGCGCACCGCCGGTATGTGGGGGTCTGAGCGGCTCCAATAGAGAAATAATATTTGAAGGCAGGATGGTAATCTGGATGAACTGACTGCACAGACTATATTTTCAGGCCGACTTTCTCGCTTAAAAACATAATCGTGCATCCCTAAAAAATACTTTTTACCTTCTGATCACAGCAAATATAGCAACGCTGCTCTGTGGCATTGAACACAGGAGCATCAGAAGCATCAGATGCACCTGGACACACTTTACTGCACGCGCTTCCAGAGTACCAACAAATGCATCATTTTGGCAGCAAAATCCCCTCCAACTTCCAGCCACTGGCCTTCTTATGGGCGTGCACATTTTTTTTTTTTTTTACGTGACTCAACCCTTTCACTGAATTACAGGGTCTGACCAAGAGATGATGCTTCTGAGCCAAGGGCCCAAATTTAGAATGGCTACTACAGTAAAAGTTACATTTAAGAAAACAGGAAAGTTATTTTCAAAACCTTTTTCTGACTGGTATTTTTCAAAGCTGATTTCAGATTTAATTTAGTTATTTTCATTTTTAAAACCAATTGCTGCTTTTAACAACATTTAACCACAATGAGCAGCCTAGGCCCCATCCAAACGGGGATGAAACTAGATGAACTAGAAGTTTAACTACATTTCAAAACTGGGGGTTTAAAGAAACTAATCATAATGTTTTTAAATAGTCTCTCAATTGTGGCACGAAAAGGCCAAATAAAACGGAAACGATACAGATCATAATAGGTCTGATTGGATTATACTGAAGGATAATTGTTTTGGAATAGCTCTGAATGCATCATTTGTTTGTAGTGACACTAAACATGTCACAGAAACAGGTCGCCTCCTTCCTTGGTTTCTCCTCTGTCTGCATCTTTCACACGTGCTCTAATGGAGGAAATAATCAACAGCGTAAATATGATTGGATTTCCAGACTTCCTGTCTGAATGTTGTATCCGTAAAGTCTTGCATCTGTCCGTCCCTCCATCTGCTTTCCTTAACTTTAAGTTGTTTTTAACCTAAAACATGTGTTTTAGGACTGTAAGGGTTCATTGAATTAATCAATGACATCCATTCCTAATATTGATTAAAGTCTTTTTTTTTTTTTGCCTCAAGGCGGGTGGCTAAGCTAATGATAGCCTGCTTAGCTGATAGAGGGAGAAAGAAGCACAGAAAAATAAAAGTTGGTAAAGATTTTCATTCATCCAGATCCAAAAAAGAAACAAACCAGTAGACTTTGTTTTTTCCAAGTTTGAGGTGAACCATCCGGCTGAGCTCCTCTGCAGCAGTTTAAGGCCGCTGTAGGTACCAGATATGCTCTGGTCCTGTGCATGCCGGTGACGTTGCGCTACAGGAGTGGCTGAACGTTGCCACATGACTTAAAACATTGTGGTTGCCCAGACAACGATAACAATGCAGCGTCCATGTGCCGAGTCGGGAGCATCTGTAATGTTAGCGTCTCTAAAGACAGATAAAGTTTTACCTTATCAATAACAAAGCTAAAAACTATATTCATGATGAACAAAATATATGCAAAAACAAGACGTAACAGAGAACTGGGTGGCTCTGTTGCTAGCTAAGTAGCTAACAGGTTAGCATATTTTAGCTTGGTCAGATAGCCATTCCAAAAAAGTAAAAAAAAAAATCCACTGGACTTTGTTTCCAAGTTTGAAGACGCTTTGCTTCACATCAAAATGTCAGAAAAAGCGTTTGAGCCTTTATGGACCAAAACAAAGCCTCGTTTTTGCTTAGAAACATGCAAATTGAACCAACCCCTTTGGAATGGAGGTCATTTTGTTTCTTTGTTAGCCTGCAATACGCGAAACCTGTCTATGTCTCTGAAAGGGGGGGGTGTTACAACGGCTCTAGTATAATAACAAACACCAGTATGAGATTAGTGATTTTTATAAAGAATATTTTGATAAAATGTTTACAACAGAGTGACATCAAAAGAACCAAAAATTTGTTTCTAGAGCTTCTTTTTTTTAAATTAACTTGGAAATGATGAACACAGACAAATATTATTGCTAAAAAAAAAAAAATGGGGTCCTTGAGGGCAGAGCTGTTTCAAGTGCTACTAGAAAATATTCTATAGCCTTTGCTTTACTTTTGGCATGCCGTGCAATCTTACTCCGATGGAAAGATGCCTCCCCACCATCTCATTCACAGTGGCTGCAAGATATTATGTCCTGTCTAAAACTCGAAAAGATCAGGTACTTACTTAAACAGTCTCTTGATACATTTGAAAGTTTGTGGGGCCATTTCTTGAAAGCATTTCCAGCTCTTTAATTGCTCAGACATGCTCAACTGATTCTACCTTAGGCGGGTCCTGAATGTTGTGGCAGTGACGGATTGGGTGATGGGGAAGGGGATATTTTGATTTTTCTATTGTATTATGTCTTTGTGCTTCACTACTTGACTTGTTTTATCGTAGTTGTCATGCTACTAAGTCTATATTTCTTTTACTTGAACAAACTTTTGTATGAGCAACTTGTTCAACTGGCTTCTATAAGCCTACCTTGCAACACCTTATAACTGTGCTCTGTTTTTTTGTTTATGTAAAACTCAATGAAAAATATCTTGAGTAAAAAAGAAAACTTTTTTTTAAAGTCATGCAATATTTTGCGGCTTAAAATTACTTTTTCTTATCTGGACTCTAAATGGCTCTTTGGATACGATGGTTGCAGACTCATGATCTAAACACCCGTTTTCTAAACCTTTGGTATATCTTTAGCAGATTGTTTGAATAGAACTGTTGTTGTTGTTCTTTGCAGGTAATATAATTTAGTTGGATCTGAATGGAGGCGATAGGATGGAGAGATTAGGCTGCTGAGGAAGGAGAAGAAATTAATCAGTTGTAGTTGTAACTGTCCACCTTCCTGCTCCTCACCTGTTTGTTTTTGTTTCTCTCAGGCTTCCTGCTGTTTAAGGACTTCTGTATGAACGAGATCGACGAGGCTGTGCCTCAGCTCAAGTTCTACGAAGAAGTAAGTGGGAGGCGGCGGTGTGTGCCTGGCACCGAGCCCTCTAATCCAGCTCAGTCTAATTCAGCCGTCCCAGGAAGTCCCCGTGAGACCGAGTCCCGTTTCTGTTTCAGATCAAGGAGTACGAGAAGCTGGACTCGGAGCAGGAGCGCCTGAGCCGCAGCCGGCAGATTTATGACGTCTACATCATGAAGGAGCTGCTGTCCTGCTCACATGTGAGGATGCACCTCTTAGTCAGACACTGCGTCACTGGCGCACTCGGGGTCAGACACCTGCTGCTGGTCAGGCGGCCGCTCAGCTGTTGGTCCCACATAACCCTGCTGAGCGGATCCTCCAACTTGACCAAAAATAAGGAAAAGAATCATGATTCTGTTTCGTGTAAAACCTTATCAGAGGCTGGAGCATATAGATGTTTCAGTTTCATATTGCTAATGCTGTATTTCTTCAAACTTTGTAAAATATTTATATTTTTACAAAGAGCAAAGGTTCCTTTCTCTGTCTGCTGTTCTATAAATCTCGGGATGTCCCGATACAAATCTTTCATCTACAACGACATATTGCAGCATTGAAAGTCGGCCGATACCATTATTGACCCGATATGGGTTCAGCACGAATCATCCCGGCTTTTATTATTACTGATTTTGTTGTGTAGGATGTTAATTCAATTCACCTGAGTTTATTTATATAGCGCCAATTCACAACACGTCACCTCGAGGCACTTTAGAGACAATTCAACCAGATCATACAAGTTTTCTATCTAAGCAAAACCAGCTGATTGCATCAACTAATTTACTCCTCAGCAATCCCTCACACTAAGCATGCTTGTAGCGACGGTTGAGAGGAAAACTCTCAAGTCAAGTCCAGAGGCAGCGACATAATATTTGAAGGCAGGAAGGTAATCTGGATGAACTGACTCCACAGATGAAGTTTTCAGTTGGATTCTCACCTAAAAACATATTAAAACCAGTTTTTACCCACTGATCACAGCAAGTATAGCTGCCATTCTTCCAGGCAAAGAAAGGATAGGGTAGCTCCGTCCAACATGCATCAGACCCGCTTTTCGACCATACAGCTAGAGCAGCAAAGATACTTCAGCCGCGCATCAGAATTAAAATTGTACAAGGGTCAAAAAGGAACCGGCACGCGAGTTTTTGCTTCCTCTCTGCTGTAATAGCTCATCCTGGCTGAGGGCTGCAGGACGTTCTACTCCTCCAGTGGACGACGCATAGATGTGTCATCCAACGCTGACGGTCATTTCTCAAGAGTTCCCAGTCTAGTGATGGTGATGATATTTATGGCCCAAATCATAAGACATCTACAGATGTTTATATTTATAACCTCCTACCAATAGGAGTCGTTATTCCTGTCAGCGTAGCCACGCGGTGCAGAAGATATGGGTCCAAAGAGGGACCTGGATGCTAAAAGGGACGCTAATCACCAACCTTAACCCTTAAAGCCTTAAACCCTTCAAAAAAATAAGCTGAAGGTGCAGATGAGACTAAAACTAAAGAAGTCATCTGTTCACTTGCTTCTTGCTGCTTGGAGGAAGTTTTGCTGGTTAATCATGATTTACAAAGAAAAGCAAAACAAACTGAAAAAATGACTTTATTCTCATAATAACTGAGCTCCATGTGAAGTTAGTGGCTGTTGATTGGCTGACCTGTATTATTCATCATAACTTTAACTGAGCAGATTGACATGACTTTATTGTATTGATGTTCAGTTGTAGTTAATTGGAGCCAAAGTCATACGAATTTCTTCTGTTATCTAACTTATGACAGGTTTTAGGAAAGCAGATTGTTTGGCAGCAGATTCTAATTTCATCACTGTCTTTTTATTTTAATTTCAATTCAGTTCAGTTTATTTCTATAGCACCAATTAACAACATGTCATCTCAGGCACTTTGCAGTTCACCAGATCATCCAGTCAGATTGATTAAAAGTTTTCTATTTAAGAAAAACCAGTTGATTGCATCGACTCTTCAGCAATCCCTCACACTGAGCATCTGTGTAGCAACGGTGGAGAGGAAAAACTCCCTTTCAACAGTATGAAACCTCCAGCAGAACCAGGCTCAGTGTGAGCGGCCATCTGCTGAGGCCGACTGGGGTTCAAGGAGACAGAAGCAGACATAGAAAAAGAAACTGAGATAAAAAAGGCAACTGTAAACCAGCTCCACTGGCGGCCCCGTCCAGGAAACGGACAGCGAAGCGGACGAGCTCCAAGCCAGCTCACATGTCCACATCCAGCCAGTCAGACAGAAAAACAGGACTACACTGAAAAACGGACCGATCTCCATCATCTACAAACAAAGGTGTTGATGGCAGCAGCACAGCTGATATTTCTCTCCAGGATTTGAGTCACAGCCAAACAGGAACAAATGAGGCAAAGCTACTATGAGAAAAAAGGAGAGAGCAGAACGTTAGAGATTGAACTAACAGATTCTGCAGAGTAGGAGAACAGCAATTTTTAGCAGCATGTAAACCTTTTTAAGCTAAATGAAACTCTCCAATAATCTGGTGTTCTTCTTATCAGAGAAAAGGTGTTTAACTGCTCTCTGACCGAGGCAGCGAAGCCAAGTAAGGAAAAGGAGTGTTATGCTGATGTAGCTACTCAAAACACTAAAGCCTTATTAAATGTGGAAGCTGCAGCCCCTCCATTATGGAGTTCCCTCCATCTTTATTGACTTCAGGTTTTTGCAGGAATTATCCTGAATGTTGGTGGAAACCCAAATGCATCTGTGGGCTGTGTGTCTGAGATAGTAGCTCCGCCTGAATGTATTCAGGATGTGATGCTGCTGAGGCGTTCAGCCACTTATTCAGCTGATCCCACTTCAGGATCACTTTGGCCTTCACATTTAGCAGCTCACATCAAGAAGTCACTCCTAATTTTAGGTTTTTAGATCAGTGGGCAGAGAATTACAGATATGTACAGGGGTCGAAAAAGCAGCTTCTTTTTTGTTATGTTATTTTTATGGGGGGTTTGGATAAAGAAATAAACAAAAGGTAGAAAATAACGATCATGAGTGTGAAAGGGCGCAATTCTTCATAGAAATAAGACTTTGAAAGGTGGCTGTGGCCACATGTTTTGTACTGTTTCTTTTTGCTGGTGTCCTTATGGGCCTTAAATTGTACAAATTGTTCTCATTTATTTTACTGCTGTCCCATTTTATATTAGTTATGATGAAAGTGTCCTGTTTTTTAGGGGGGGTGTCTCTGCTGTTAATATTTAAAATAGAAACATAAACATATCTATTGCCTCCTGTTCTCTTCCTAATTGATCATTTTAATAAATATATATATATATCAATATGAATAAAGTTAATTGAACTGAAGAAAACCTCCCGCTGCCTCTGTTTGAGCAGCAGACGAACCCGGGGGACACAGTCTCTGCACAGAGGAAGCAGAAGTGAAACTGCTACTCAGGCTGCATCTTTAATGACTCTTTGCTTTATTTGCAGCCATTTTCCAAGAAGGCGGTGGACCATGTGCAGAGTCATCTGGCAAAGAAACAGGTCCCACCGACTCTTTTCCAGGTAAAACAAACTTCCTACAAACGTCTCTGTGCTTCTGCAACAACTCGCATCGGACGGTTTATAACAGGGCTCCCGCCGATCCTTAAAGGAAAAGTCCGGTCAGCAAGAAATGATCAATGGATCATTATTTATACCTAAAACTAATACGTGCGCAATAATTTAATGAATTTAGCATTAATCAGTACAAAAATGCACAATAATCACTGAGTCTGGGAGCGGCCACTTTTGCCCAAATATAGTAACACGCAGTGAGGTCACAGTGTGGTAAGCCTAGCGCCATTCTCCCCACTCCAGGTGTGACGGGTGGTTTCTAACTTGTTGCTTGTGGACACCAGCAGAATGCTGCGACCTGGGTGTTAAAAGTGTTTGACTTTTTACTCCATGATCCGTTTCTTTCCATGTCACCCTGACTGCTTATAGAGTCAATCCACTGCAGGGTGTGCAGATCCCAATCTTTTTTCATTTCAGTCTCAGCTCGCCACAAATTGAAACAATTTCCCAGGATTGGCTGAGAAAGATTATGAAAAGTTGTTGAAAAACAAAAAACAACTGGTGCAGCTACAAAGCAAAGCCCCACTAAGTCAAAGCAGCACCTTTTAAACCAGATAGAGGATTTTAATAGGACTTTATTAAAAATATAATGAACTACATTTAAAGAAAATAAAAAAACAGCAGTAAAGGCTGTGAAAAGATTTAAGTTTGTAGATTTGTTTTTCATTAAAGGAAAAGTCCGGTCAGCAAGGAATAACCAATAGATCATTATTTATTAAAAACAAACACGTTGGGGTGATTTAATGCCCAAATATAGTAACGCTTCACTCCTGCCATCTTCCAGCAGTGACGTCACGGTGCGGTAAGCCTAACGCCATTCTCCCCGCTTTACAAGCTAAATCAATGGGAACTACTAGACACATCTGCAATCAACAACAATTATTGAAGATTTCCAGAGGACTTCACCATTGAAATTCACCAGAGCTATAGTGAAACTGACAATGCCCACGTGCATGGCAGCTGGATGCTGGAATACATCGGGTACAAGTGAAACCTTTCAGATTCCTGATCCTCCACGGACGGGTTGGTCGTTGGATCGCCAACTTGAAGAGAGAGAATTTGCCATCAAACTTCTTGCCAGAGAAAAAACACGTAATATGTAGCCAACATTTGGAAGAAGAATGTTTTCAAGATGACTTGGATAATAGCGCGTTGTGACAAACACCAGATACAGCACTGGGACTTGATCAACAGCCGATACCGCACCGTGACGTCACAAACCAGTAGGTGGCAGTAGTGTTCTTTGACAAACATGGATGCCTCCAATAAAGCACATTCAGATGAAAATGACTCTTAATTAAAAACACTTATCATTTATTGAACAATATGTAATAATTTCATATTTAAAGCACTTTCAGAAGTTTGAATTCTGAATATGAACAGACTTTCCTTTTAACAAAAAAATATCAGCAACACATTTTTATGCTAAATAAAAAAATGGACCTGAAACCATTAACATTATTAATCAATTAATGAAATTATTATCAAGTAATTTGCTATTTTAAGGGTTAAATTCAAGTAAAAACCTGCTGAGAAAAAAAACAAAAATTTTCCCGTTTAACCCCTTTTTCGATTGTGAAAGTAGCTTCTTTGTAAATATGCTTTATGTGGATCCCTGGTGATATTCTGTTAAAGCACTACTGGTTAAATTCTGATCCAACTGTTTTTCCAGATTAATCAATAGATGATTAGATCGATAACTGCATCCTTAAAGCTAACAGCTGTTGGTGGAGCTCTGCTCAGAGCTGGTTTTATAGTAAACTAGTAGAAAACGAGGATTTGATTGGCATCCGACTCAAAGTGTTCAGGAAGTTTCCTTTAGCAGAGCTTTATAAACACAAACTCACTACAGTGTTTCTGCAGTGAGACCTGGACACATACAGGCACATGACTCCTGGAGTTCGTCTTATATGCTTCTCATTTAGCTCTCTTTAGCCCTGTTTCCTAAATTAGAAGCCTTGTCTTTATTCGCCTGATGGCGGAGCAGCTGTGAAGGTCACGGGCCTGAGCTGCAAATCAGATTTTCTATGTCAACAAGTTCAGGTGCCGTCAACAGATTGCACCTAAAATAAAGATAACATCTCCCCTCGGTTGTTCCAGTCTATAAAATGTTCCTATTTTAACAGCTTACCAACCTGCCCAGATGAAGATTTGCAGTCAGTCAGACGCTGGTGTCCATTTCACCAGCTTTAGGAAACAAATTGTTCTTTATCATGGAAACTCCTCAGGTTGTTTCTAATTTTTCTGCCATCATGAGATCCTCTCTGCTCTGAATTTATTATATTAGAACAAACTAAATGTCCTGTTTCATATTTTTACATGAATTCAGTGATATAAAAAACCTTTGGCTTAGTTTTTGAGCTTTACTTGATGAATGATCTTGCAGGAGTGCGTTGGTAAATTGAATCACTATTTTCCTTTTTTTAGCTCCCAGTCTGGTTGTTGCTCTGTTTACTCTTTTATCCCCTGTGGCTAACTTTAGCCCTAAAATGCCGTCCACCTGCATTATCACTCAATAGTTAGATGCTACATCCAGCTGCGACTGAGCGATCGCAGCCTGTTTACGGTAGCTGATCAAATGTTGGATGAAATCCCAGTTTTTACGATGAAACTTATTGAAGCTGATCTCTCTGTGTCGCCTTCTGCAGCCGTACATCGTGGAGATCTGCGACAGCCTGCGATGGAATATCTTCCAGAAGTTCATTGAAAGGTGAATAAAGGGAAACGGCTCGCAGGTTTCTGTGTTCCTGGAGTCACATGTGACCCTCTTTCTGTTCTGTCCTCAGTGACAAGTTTACTCGGTTCTGCCAGTGGAAGAACGTGGAACTCAACATTCATGTGAGTATGCTGGTAAAGATCCACTTGACTTTATTTCCAAGTTTGAAGACATTTCGCTTCACATCTAGGAAGCTTTTTCGATTCAAAATGGCAGGAATAGTGTTGAGTCTGAGGCTACAAACAGTAGACCAACGACCCCTTATATTTGTTTAGAAAACATGCAAATTGAAGCGGCGAAGGGGTCTGCCCTTTGGAATGGGGCACAGATGCTTGCCCCAAGAGCGACCTCCTTCGGTTGAGAATCTGAGGTACATCTACACCTTATGGACAAAGGACATTCTTTTGAGGACCAGAATGTTCACATTTTGGACTAGAAGACAGGTGGATTGAGAGTGGCGTGAAGGAAGCCATCTATGTTAAGAAAGAAACCAACCTTAAACAGATTTCTGCTTTCAAAACTTACAATGCAGCAGTTGAGTTGATTCCTTCCCACTATCATCGCAACCCCCTCCCCTTTACAGGGGTCATAAGACCCCCCTCTTTTCAGCCAGGCCAACAGTTCCCTTTAACGACCCCCCCTTTCAGAGACATAGACAGGTATGGGGTAGGGATGTAACGGTTTATGAAAACCGTCCGAACCGTTCGGTTCGACTGTCTCGGTTCGATTTGCGTGTGTTGCGTTCGGTTCATGCGCTGCTCCTTTTTCTCATAGGCGAAGCGTTTACACTCCAGAGCAGAAGGTGGCGGTACTGCGACCAAAGCCAACCACCAGTAGTAAACAAGAGGAAGAAGCGAAGCAGCGTAGCCGGGTGTAGCAGAAATAAATTAGTTGTTGTGGAGAATTGTGTGGGTATGGCGAGTGGGAAAGAACAGGAGTTGGAAGACGCGCTAGCAGCACTTTATAGGTCTGCTGTATGGGACCACTTCGCATTTTGAGTGACCTACGATGATGGCGGAAAGAAAGTTGTGGATAAAAGTGCAACAGTGTGCAAGCATTGTGCAACAAGTTTTGTTGATGCTAACAGCATCAACAAAACACGTTAAACAACATCGAAACACGACCAACATCGCAGCTTAGAGATTTTCCTAACAATCAACATATACCGAACCGAAAACCCTGACCACGAAAGCGTGAACCGAACCGTGGACTTTGTGAACCGTTCCACCCCTAGTATGGGGCATTGCAGGCTAACAAACCGTTCCAAAGGGGCGGACCCATTCGTCCGTTTTAATTAATGTTGCAGCGATGCCCTTTTTTTTTTATCCCTGATACCCGATACCTGGCTGTTCAGTATCAGCTGATACCGGTACCATCTGTATTGGTATCAGTCGATGACGTATCGGCTGATACCGCCGTGCAGTTCTTCTATAACCGATGACCTATCGGTAATAGAAGAACTGCATGCTACTTGGATGTAAAATAGTTGCCATCATGGCTTTGTCAAGCTGCTGCCTACCTTTGTGAAGCAGGTAAAAAACGAATACAAAGTGAATCCAGTAGAATTTTTCACTGCCTACCTGGAATGGGTGACAATAGTTGAAGAAACTTTTTGCTCTTGAAATGATATCGGTGCCCTGTTTGTTGGTACTCGCCGATCCCGATACCACTATTTTAGTGCTGGATCGGGGCCCCGCCCCAATACTGTGTCAATAACGGTGCAACATTTGTTTTTCAATTTCTAAGCAAAAACAGGACTTTGTTGGAAACAAAGTCCAGTGGATTGTTTTTAAACTTTTTTGAGTACCAACATGAGGCGTCCGATGCTCAGTCCTGCCTCCACACATCTGAGCGTCTCAGTCCGCTGCCCAGTTCTCCTCTTTCTGTTAACGACCTGCTTATTGGACTCAGGTGTGTTGAAGCAGAGAAACATTGAAGGCTGTGTTAACACTGCAGGCAAATGTGACCCAAATTTGATTTGTTTTTTTTTGTTTTTCCCACCCATATGCGACTGGTATCAGCCTGTTTCACAGCAGTCTGACCGGCCCAGTTTCATCCGGTTTGAGCAGCTTTCATCTGTGGTTCTAAATCAGAACCTGTCTGATAGTTTTCATAGTTTCTCACTGTAGCTCTAAACTTGCTGATCCAAACTCAGGAATCAAGATTTTTCATATTAGCCTGAAAATGTTACCCGTGTCTGACTTTAATGTAAACCGTTAGCAGCTCCAATCTGACCTACAGAGTCGTCACTCGGGCAGAGCTGCAAACATGGAGGAACGAGTTTTAGTTTTTAAGAGCAAAAGAGAAGCCATTTGCTGTGTGTGAAACGAATGAATAAAAGGAAAGGAAAACTGTTTATTGTGACATTTTAATTCAGGAGACCCCAAACAGAAGCAGATTATAACCTGCCCACTAATCTCCGTAGCGTCATAAAGTCATGTTTGAAGGGTCATATAGGAAAGTTACAATGCAAACTATTTCCATGCCCCGATGCTTCCTGTAAGCTGCTGAAGATCATTCAGGTCATAGTCAGTCCAAAAAGGTTCAAAAACAATCCACTGGACTTTGTTTCCAAGTTTGAAGACGTTTCTCTTCCCATCCAGGAAGCTTTATCAGTTCAAAATGTCAGAAATAGCGTTGAGTTCTAGGCTTTACAGAGTGGACCAAAATAACGCCTTGTTTTTGCTTAGAAACATGCAATTCTGTGATGATACAAACATTTTATTTACCTTTGTCTTTATGCAGGTCTAATTCTTCCTGAATGTTTAAACTCTTCTGCAGAAAACATTAAGCAAACGACACAAATTGTTCTTATTTCTACATAATGAGTCGATGTTTGTAGCAGCGACCAGTAAAGCGAACGCCGGTTCTACAAGGAAGGGATGTTGTTCTGTTCCATTAAAGCCCCTCTCCTCTGTTTCCCCTCAGCTGACCATGAATGACTTCAGCGTGCATCGAATCATCGGCAGGGGAGGCTTCGGGGAGGTGTACGGCTGCAGGAAGGCCGACACCGGGAAGATGTAAGCCAAACCCAAAGCGAGGCAGCCATCTTTTTGAGGCGGTTGTATCCGCTCTAACGTTTCTAATGTTGACTTCAGGTATGCCATGAAGTGCTTGGACAAGAAGCGGATCAAAATGAAGCAGGGCGAGACTCTGGCGCTCAATGAGAGAATCATGCTGTCGTTAGTCAGCACCGGGGTGAGTTCATCATTCGGCTCGGGTTCAACCTTGACTCTGAGGTTCTAACGCTTCCTTCTCTGACCTCTGATGCTGACGTCCTCCTGTACTGCTCGTTAGACTCACTACTGCGGTTTATAAACATGTAATCTTTGACTCCATTTTTAGAAGCGCTCTTCTGTTTTAGCTTGCACATAAGTAGCAAACTTAGAGCGTGGATGTGGTTCTAACTGCTGAAAACAAGCCTGCATCACACGTCCCTAATATGAGCAGCGGTTTTAAAGGGGAGGGTTCTGCTGCACCAACGTTACCTCTTATAACCTCCATCTTGGGTTAGATGATCAGCTCTAAGTAAAGGTGTGAACTCGCTTAATGTTAGCAGCTTTTCATGCTTAGAGTAGAAACTTCTCTTTATTTTTTTTTTTCTTCATGTTGATGGGTTACACAGAACTGTTTTAGAAAGTAAGAAACCAACGTTTCCTTTGACTAGACCAGTGAGGAAAGGCCAGCGCTAGCGTCCTGCGCCACACACTTTGGAGGGATGACTCCAAAAAAAAACTTATTTAATTATAGTTTCCTTAAATCACATCTGAAATAATAAACCAGTTGAAATGTGCAACTACTGCGCCGCCTGCGCGCAGCGTTTGCTCACTGGTCCATCTAACCAGCGTTACGTTCAAAGAGTGAGAAAACGTTTAAGGAGACATCAGAGATTCTCTTCAACACTTTGATATGCAATAGCAGAAGGTTTTAAATTTAGTTGAATCAAATTTTACAAGCCTTCAGCAGCTTTAATCTGTTTAAATGGTAAGATCCTTTCGACTAAAACATGTTAGTGAAAACGGTGAGTGGCTGTAACTGGGAAACGCCGAGTGCTGGTTGATGTAAAGCAGGGGGAACCAATTAAAAATCTGGGGTTGGAATTAAGAAAACCATCAACCACTAAAGGTCCGGAGACATTTTTTATTATAATCCGTTACTTTAAACAGAATTTAATTCTTAAATAAAATTAGGTGTTTATGCATTAATGTTTTTTAAATAAAAAAAACATTAAAAAAAAATGTTTTTCTATTATATAATCTAAAGTATTTTTAAATAGAGAACAAAACAACAATCGTTCATTTTAGTATATAGGCAATTTCCTGATTCACACATTCTATAAAACACCTGAACTGACTGTTTGTTTTCATTCTTTTTTCTGTCTTAATGTTGGCAGTGGGCTTTATGCTGCCCTGCAAGGCTTTAAACCTGGTTTGAATGGAGACTAAGCCATTCTAAAGCACATATCAAGGAGCTCATTCTGAGCCTGGATCCATATTTATTGTTGATTCTGTTCATGGTGGAGAATCCTGCTTCACAGCAGCAGGTTGAGCCAAACATCCTCTAAATGTTCAGGATCATCTTTGAGCATCATTTCACTTTTCTTTCACCAGTTCACCACAGTTCTTCCAGCAGTCCACACTTTCTCTGCTCTCTTTTTCTCATCATCTTCTCCTTCTTTCCCATCGCTCAGCTTGCCACAGGTTTGCCTGCTGTGTCTAAAAGTAGCAGCAGCAGCAACCCAGACTGACATACAGTCATATGAAAAAGTTTGGGCACCGCTATTAATCTTAATGATTTTTATTTCTAAATATTTGGGTGTTTGCAACAGCTATTTGAGTTTAATATATATAATAACTGATGGTAAGATTTCAGTATTTAATTTAGGTTTATTGGACAGAAATGTGCAACATGCATTAAAAAAAAAACTTGACAGGTGCAAAGTTTGGATACCCTAATTATTTTATTGATTTGAATACCCTTAAAGGAATAGTACACCCAAAACATGATTAGCCTTCATTTTCTACTCACCCCCATGCTGAACAACACTCTGGAGTACTTTTTTGATATCTCAAATGCATCTGGAGGTCTGGGAGGCTTCTTGCTGTCTGCTGACATTCAAATAATGGAGGTCTATGGTGCCCGAGACAGAAAGGTCCATAAAAGTCCACAAAAACGTGTCAATATTCCTCCATACTGCTCGTCCAATGTATTCCAAGTGTCCTGAGTGGGTAGCATCCAGAATTTACTCGAAATGAAGTCATTTAGAATGTTTTTAGAGCATGATTGCTAATCATGTTTTGGGTGTACTATTCCTTTAACTACTTTTCACTGACCTACTGAAACACAACATTAGTTTGGTAACTGCATTAAGATTTGAACTCCATAGCCAGGTGTATCCAATCATGAGAAAATGTATTTAAGGTGGCCGGTTGCAAGTTCTTCTCCTGTTTGAATCTCCTCTAAAGATTCATCATGGGCTCCGCACCTCAAAACAACTCTCAAATGACCTGAAAACAAAGATTGTTCAACAAAGTCGTTCAGGGGAAGGATACAAAAAGTTGCCTCAGAGATTTAAGCGGTCAGTTTCCACTGTGAGGAACATAGTAAGGAAATGGAATGTTTTCTTACTTTATTGTCCTTTTTTCAACCTGACCACTAATCCAATCTACTTTGATACTTTCAGAGCTTTTGGTTTTACTTTTTATTGATGATGATGTTGATTGTCTGCTCCTCTTCCTTCTAGGACTGCCCCTTCATCGTCTGTATGACCTATGCCTTTCACACTCCCGACAAGCTCTGCTTCATCCTGGACCTAATGAACGGTAGGCTCAATTATATGACCTCAAATCACTATCACAATAAATTTGGTAGTTTTATCTCCAGCGATAAATGCGCGATAAATGCTCCGGCTCTTCTATCAGAAATAAAGGCATGTGCAGGAAGTGCTACTAATCTATCTATATTTGCTTTTAATTGAATATTAAAGTCTTGTACCCATTGAGGTTTAAACATTCAACATTGTCTCATTGAACAGGAGAAAAATGTTTCCTCTCTTTCAAACATTTTTGCGTAAAGGTAATGGAGCCTTCAACAGTGTGGTTGTGCTGTAGATGGCGGAGGTTAGATGTGTCACTTTGGGTATTCCCCGACAATTTTCAGACAAACTTTTCATTTCGTTTTCTTTTGCTCAACATCTATGGCGTAATTTTCATCGAACTGAACGTGCACTGAAAACAATTTGCATCGTTTAAACTCGCACACCCTCGCTTAAAGCCGGTCTGCTGAGCGCTCAGCTCTGCCAACGCGCTCTTGACTTCTTCTCTGCACGCTCAGCTTCATGTCTGCTCTCGCTCAGCTCCACAGGATGAGCTGATGTCATTTGGTTTACAGCTGTGTTCAACAGCCCTTTCCCTGGGCTCATTCCACTGATCTCCGTTTATTACAGTGGTTCATCTGCCTCTCTATTAGCTTATGCTTCTGATCGGATCGGTGGAGTCACGTGATCCCCTACATGCTGCCGTGTCTTAAAGGCGAAGGAAATACCAGCCTAGCGCACACAGGAAAATGGCAGAATTTTTTACCGATTTCTTTACCGACATGGGAAAATTTGCGTAGGTTGTCGTAGTGAATGAAGGTAACAGTAAAAATCCGGTTTATTGCCAAAACCTAGGCTGAATACAATGAAAGTGGAAAAGTGAACTGATTGGTTAAAGGATTTTAAAACTTAACATGATGACACAGTTTGTTAAAAACATAAAAAAGAAGCAAATTCAGACTGGCATTGAATGTGTTCCTACAGAAGAGGATTAGGGCCGCTGGAAAAAAAAAAGTTAACTAATTTTTAAATATTTCAGTTTAATATAGGGGAAAAGTAAAAATTTGGACTTTTCAGAATTCTGAGATTAAAGTCAGAATTGGTTCAATATTGCGTCACAAACCTAAAAAAATAATGTACCAGTTTAATAATGGAGAAGCTATTAGTCGGCTTATATTATATTTTTTAACGTATAAAATAGGGATGCACGATATAATCGGCCCCCTATCGGTATCGGCCTGTATCGGCCTTAAAACTGAATATCGGACATCGGCCACCCCACCGATATTTAACCCGATATTTGATCAGCTTCTGAGTTTTTAAGTCTTAAAAAAAAAATAAAAAATACTACTTCTTTTTCTTCCTCAAAAACTTCTTTTTTACAGACTTAAAAACTTCTAAAGACGAGGGAAAAAATATTGATAGATTAAAATATCCCAATATCTTCATATGCTGATATATTGCCATTTAAAAACACCATATCAATCTCTTTTACTAATGAAATATTGCTATATGTCATCGTTATGCTACGAAATCCCCCGAAAATTCACAAAATTTTGCCATATTTTTATATGTTGATATATTGACGCGGTATCGATCTATTTTACTAACAAAATCTGACAAGAATTTGCAAAATATCACGAGTTTGTAACAGAACGATGAAATTTCACGAGATTTTGAAAGTAAAATAGATCGATACCTCGTTTTTTAAAATCTATTTGATATCAGCATATGAAAATATATTGGAGTGTATTATTTTTCAAAGTGTCAGAAATGGATAACAAAACTGCTATTTTCAATGACTACTTATTTTTGTCCAGCTTTAACATCAGTATCGATATCGGTTATCGGCTACATGAGTTTGAAAATATCGGCATATCGGATATCGGCCAAAATCCCAATATCGTGCATCCCTAGTATAAAACCTATTTGCTGAGAATGTATTTATAAGCAACTATGCTCATTTTCTAAAAAGGTCTTTAAATCAGTCGTACCTCTTTTTAATCCATGTTGGGTTAGATCCTGACATTTAAAAAAGAGGCAGGAAAAGCAGAATAAAGCTTTAGCGCCCTAGGGCGGAAATACATCACCAATCTGACGAAAAATGGAATGACGCTTTACTGGTCATTAAAGATTAAATATTTGTCTTGCACATCTAATATATATATATATATATATTAATACATTTCAATATATTGTACATTTTAATTCAAAGTTAAATTATTATAAAATATATATTTGTATGTCTTAATCAGGGTCATTGGGTGGGTGGAACGGAACCCTAGCGCCCTCTATTGGCCAGCCGAGATGGAAGTCAATATTTTCAACATGTTAGATTGGAGCAGCTTTCTAAACGTCTGTTTTGGGCTTTTATTTAGTTCGATATTAAAATAATATCACATCTGAAATGAGGAAATTTATTGTTACAAATGTTTTGATGATACCATCCTGCCCTAAACGCCCCACGTTGTTTTGTCTTTCTGTGTGCGTTTCAGGGGGGGACTTGCACTACCACCTCTCTCAGCATGGCGTCTTCAGCGAGAAAGAGATGCGCTTCTACGCCGCTGAAATCATCCTGGGTCTGGAACATATGCACAACCGTTTCGTTGTCTACAGGGACCTGAAGGTAACAGTGTTTTTCCTCAAAGCTTGTTTTTAAGTTCTTTAAACACTTTCTATGACTATTCTATTCAGGGGGTAAAAACGTATGATCATAGACGTTTTAATGGTTTTAACTTAGATTGGGATTAAAGTTCTGAGGCACAAATATGGTTCTATTTTTTATACAAGCTAATGGCCACAGGTTTGATTCTGAGTTAAAAACAGGTCTTTAGTTTTAGTTGTTGCTTTCTCTGCGTTTTAACATTTTAATACAACCGCCTAATGAAAAAATGGAATAAAGCTTCTGAAAGTCAAATAGAGATGGATATTGGCATGTGTGTTCGATAAGATACGTTTCACAATACACAATTGTTATCACAATATTTCAGTATCACTTTATACTGCAATGTTTTACCCAGCTATCAAAATAAAATGTAGAGATTAAAAAAGTAAGTACTGTATATGTGCACCAGAATCCATCTTGTTTGAGGGTTGAGTCAGTCCACATTTTCCACACTGCCTCAACTACAGATACGGTGCTGCGCTGCACAGCAAAAAGGCTCCACAGCGCCATCTACCAGAGTGGCGCTGCAGAGGTAGCCCATTTTCCCTCATTGTTTTAGGGTAAAAAGTTTTTTTGGAAAATCAATTTTAGGAACTGAAGGATCAATATTATATTGGGCAGCAGAAAATCACGATATATCACCAAATCGATTTTTTTTCCCCACACCCCTAAAGCCAAATGTTAATTTTTCTGCTTGTTTTAATGGTATAAAGGTGCAAATCAAAGGAAAGTGATTGCAGCTAGTAGGAAGGATGTTAACTGATTTACAGATACTACCACCTCACCTCATTTTAGTGTTTTTTTTCTAATTTGATTTGTATTCTTAATGCTGCTGGAATTTTAATTTTCCCTTATCCTACATTCAGAACACACAGCAGTAGCGGCAAATACGTGTGTCCTGCTTCATTTCTGACGCTTGTACAGGTTCAGTTCTGATCCGCAGCTGAAGCATTTTCTTTGCTCTAGCTGTCTGATGTGCGTTGGGAGGAGCTACCCTATCCTTTCCCCTTCTTCCTGCATACGTCCTCTGAATAAACACATTTATTAAGCAGTATGAAATTAGCAGCAGATTGACAGCGTATGTTTACCATCGTAAAAGCCTGAATAATTCCGGTTGGTTGATGTGGCGCGTCGAGCAGCAAAAGTTGAATTTTTCCAACTCCAGCTGCGCGTGCACATCAGATGCTCAGACGCGCTGCAGGACCTTTAGCTGCGCCTTGATGCGCATGTAAACTTGTAAACTTGACTTTGCATGTAAACTAGCTGCTCCTGCTACATATGGTCTGAACATAACATAAGGGATCAATAAAGCTTCTATCTGGCTATGTAAATGACTTGGAGAGCTAAAGCAGTAGCGCCATTGTCATGGAGCAGTTTCCACTGCTGATAAAGTCAAATAATGGAGTTAAGGTCAACAGAGAGGGAGCATGAAATCAAATGATGGAAACTTTCCATAACCTTTGTGAGGATGAGGCTGAGGGTAGTTAACATCATAAATACTCAAACAAGCAGTTTTGTTTACTGCAGAAATATGTAAAATACTCTCCTCAGCAGTTTTAATGTTTTGTTCATGCACATTTATCCCAGCCATGCCTCCAAACTCTCATCTGTGGCTTCTGTCCTACTCACATGCGGACCTGTTCCTGTCTTCATGTCAACTTTTGTCACTTTAAGGAAAGAACCAACCTGGGAAAGTAATCTGCCTGTGATTGGCTACTTCACAGGAAATTCCGCCTCTTGAAAAAGTAGTTTTTTGTTCCTGGTTGTGTCTGCTAACGTTAGCAAAGCATCTTGAAGCTGATCGCTGTTCTCTGAAAGAGTCGAATTCTGGCTTCATGTCCAACCAGATTTTATTCAAGCTTAATTTTCCTCTGTATAAACAGTGGAGCTAACGTTAGCTTAGCTCATATGAGGTTCCAAATGTAATATAATGAGCTGCGCTGCAGGCTGCCGTAAGCAGACGCCCTCTGACACAATCAGTACTGTCTTATCCAGCAAATGACGACATTTAAAGATGGATCCTTGCATGATCCTGTTTTAGACGCCATTGTCGCCTCTTAGATCATATTTCTGCTGCTGTCAAACGAAATCCATAAAAGATTTATACTAAAATTAAACAATTTTTACCTTTTTAGGTCAACAAGGAATAATCATTGAATCATTATTTATACCTAAAACTAATACATCTCCTGTGATTTAAGGAATTTAGTGTTAATCAGTAAAAAAAATTAAAACAATATGTTTCAGCGCGATCATCGAGTCTGGGAGCGGCCAAATATAGTAACACCTCACTCCTGCCATCTTCTGGCTGTGACGTCACGGTGCGGTAAGCCTAGCGCCATTCTCCCCGCTTTAGAAGCTAAATCAATGGGAACTACTGGACACATCTGCAATCAACAACAATTATTGAAGATTTCCAGAGGACTTCACCATTGAAATTCACCAGAGCTATAGTGAAACTGACAATGCCCATGTGCATGGCAGCTGGATGTTGGAATACATCGGGTAAAAGTGGAAAAAAATTATTTCACCTTTCTGATTCCTGATCCTCCACGGACGGGTTCATCGTTGGATTGCCAACTTGAAGAGGGAGGATTTGCCATCGAACTTCTGGCCAGAGAAAAAACACGTAATATGTAGCCAACATTTGGAAGAAGAATGTTTTCAAGATGACTTGGATAATAGCGCGTTGTGACAAACACCAGATACAGCACTGGGACTTGATCAACAGCGGATACCACACCGTGACGTCACAAACCAGTAGGTGGCAGTAGTGTTCTTTGACAAACATGGATGCCTCCAGTAAAACACATTCAGATAAAAATTACTCTTAATTAAAAACACTTATCATTTATTGAAAAGTATTTAATAATTTCATATTTAAAGTATTTTCAGAAGTTTGAATTCACCGGACTTTTCCTTTAAGGGAACCGCGTTCAGCCTGAAGATTCTTTGCTAGCATTACAACTACAACCAGGAAGAAAACTGTGCCGTCTGAAGAGGCGGGATTTTCTGAAAACTAGCCAATCAGTTTAGTTGATAAGGTTGGTTCCTTCCTCAAAGTGACAAAAGTTGACATGAGCGCAAAGAAGCAGGTCCACATGTGAGCTGGAGAGAATCTGCAGGAGCTTAAAAAGCAGGAGGATCATGAATTCATTGTTGGGATATGATGAAGGCTCATTGTTTTAAATCTGCATGAATAAAACATCCAAAATGCTCCTGGAGAGTAGTTTACATGCGTGTTTGAAATAAATACAGTAGTGGCCATTCAAAATGTCCCCATATTCCCTTATGGGCCCTTTTCTGGTCCTTGGCTGGTCCCCTACATTCCCCTTTAAAACATCAATCTTTGTACTAAAATATTCTTTCTATCATAGTTTGTGGACATTAAGATCTAAAGAGAAGCGCCATCTCCTGGTCAGATCCTGTAATTCAGTGAAAGGGTGGAGTCAGAGTAAATAAATATGCACGCCCAGCAGAAGGAAGTTGGAGGGGATTTTGCTGGGAGTTGCAGGGAAGTTGGCTGCCATTCAGCTGGCGTTGGACTGGGAAGGGCCATTTTGAATGGCTGCTGCTGTACATGTGTGCCTTTTTTAATCGAATTGAATTCACCTTGAGTCGTCTCCTAGTATTTAGCTGGAGGTAACAGACAGTTAGCTTCTACCATTCTAAGCATTTAATGTAAAACGTCTCCGAAAAGCCAAGAGGCGAGGTTTTTATCAGCAAGCATCCTGACTGCAGAGAGGTTACATAAGTTAAAACATTTTACCTGGTGGCAGAGTAAACTTTTATTTTTTTAAAATCTTGCTTGAATAAATTAAGAAGGTTGATGAGTAAGAATCTCCCAAAGTCACCGCTATTAATCAGCTTCATCTTCATGCTTCAACAACAAAATCTTTTCTTTTCAGCCTTTCCCTGTTTTACCTCCGATTCTCCTGTTTGGACGGGTTGCCATAATAATGGCTTTATTTCGCAGGAGTTCAGGGAACATTTTTAGGGCTTCCATAAACAGTCAAGTACAACTCCCATGTTACTTTAACTCTGAGTGTTGGAGAGTGAAAAGAGGGAGCGAGTCACAGAGGAAAACCAGGACAGGAGGCCTTCTGCTGCTGCCTGTATCTGCTCAAAACTGGAAGCTGCTGGGTGGAAATGGTAACCTCTGGTTGTGTGTCTCCCCCCCCCAGCCGGCTAACATCCTCCTGGACGAACACGGCCACGTTCGGATCTCGGACCTCGGCCTGGCCTGCGACTTCTCCAAGAAAAAGCCCCACGCTAGTGTGTAAGTGCTAACGTCTGATACTGACAATGTTTAGCTCTCAGGAAGGAGAAGCTTCTTGCTGGGGAAGATTCTCAGTCATCCAGGTCATAATCATTCCATGGACTTTGTTCCCAAGTTTGAAGAAGTTTCGCTTCACATCCAGCAAGCTTTTTCAATTCAAACTGTCAGGAATAGAAACAGACAGGTACGGGGTATTGCTGGCTAACAAAGAAGCCATACGACCCCCGTTCCAAAGGGGTGGACCCGTCCATCCGTTTCAATTTGCATGTTTTCCAAACAGAAACAAGGCTTTGTTCGGCTATTGGATAAAACCTCGAAATCAACGCTATTTCTGACATTTTGAATTAAAAATGCTTCCTGGATGGGAAGTGAAACGTATTCAAACTTGGGAACAAAGTCCAGTGGATTTTTTTTAACTTTTTTTTTTTGGCAGGATAAGCTCTGTTTTTTGAAACATTGAGCAGCAAAGAATCTAACATGATATGAATTTGATTTCTTGATGCTGGAGTTTGCAGGAACTACTGCTCTACTTTTTCATTTCACAACACACTTCATCTCGGGCACTTTACAGTTCAACCAGATCATCCAGTTTATTCAAAGTTTTCTATCTAATGAAAACCAGCTGATTGCATCGACTCATTGGCTCTTCAGCAATCCCTCACACTAAGCATGCTTGTAGCGACAGTGGAGAGGAAAAACTCCCTTTTAACTGGAAGAAACCTCCAGCAGAACCAGGCTCAGTGTGAGCCGCCATCTGCTGAGGCCGACTGGGGTTCAAGGAGAAGCTCAACAAGCTCCACAGGCGGCCCCGTCCAGGAAACACAGCCAGGCAGACGAGCTCAGAGCCAGCTCCCATGTCTGAGGATACAGAGAGCACATGTAGCTAGTCACAGTCAGAGAAACAGGACTACACTGAAAAACAGGCTGATCTCCAACATCTATTAACAAAGGTGTTGATGGCAGCAGTTGATTTCAATTCAATTCAGTTTATTTATATAGCGCCAAATTCACACCACATGTCATTTCAAGGCACTTTACAGTTCAACCAGATCATACAGTCAAATTGATACAAAGTTTTCTATCTAAGGAAAACCAGTTGATTGCATCGACTCATTGACTCAAATACAATCCCTCACACTAAGCATGCTTGTAGCGACAGTGGAGAGGAAAAACTCCCTTTTAACAGGAAGAAACCTCCAGCAGAACCAGGCAAGTTGATGGCAACTAACAGATTCTGAATAATGGGAGAATATAGATAGAATTCTTCAGAAGGGAAGTGCAGGTTATACTTGGTTTGCAGATCCATGCAGCTGAGGTAGAAGTAAACACAAGCTCTGAAAGCCTTAAAAACAATGAAAGCCAGCAGCCAAACATGGCTCTGCTAATGGAGAGAGGAGAGGACAATGCTCAGCCACACTTCACTCCCCCTCTGCCCTGTTCTGGACCAGGAACACCTCAGCCCTGGTGAGGTAACCTCAACAGAGGCTCCTCTTCCTCAGGAAGCTGGAAATGGCTCCTGAGTACATGTGAACCCTTACAGAACCACAATAGAGAGCATCCTGTGTCGAAGTGCAACAGCGTGGTTCAGGAGACCTGCCCGATATGTTACAACAGAGCAGCGGATTGTTGGATGACTTCCTCGATCTGGACTCGGCAATAACCAGACTGCTGACCGCTGTTTGAAACTGTTTAGTCAGAGAAAATCTGACCCATATTTCAGGTTTATAAACTACTGGAAGGACTCCATTAAGCTTTGGAATTGAAGTTATTATAGCTTCTGTAATTAATTCACTGCACTTTAATCAAAGCCCATAAAAAAATCCAACATTTCTATTTAAAAACCTTTTTTTTTTAAGTTATTGAATAGACATATGATAAAAGTAGGGCTGCAAATAGTGATTAATTAGCAAAATTATCAATCTCTCAATACTTATTTCGATGAATAATCAGATAGCAAAAGGTTCCTTTAAGGAGTATTTTTTGAAAATTAAACCAGGTGAAACTAGAACTTTTCCACTTGAGTTCTGGACAGAGGAGATTGACAGAGGAAAATGATTTTTATCTTAAATGCAAAATGCTTACTTTTTTTTTACAATTTTGATGTTATTGCTGCTCTAAGTGGGTCGCTCTGTCAGCTGAAGCCATTTTACAGTCTCTATACTCCGTTTAACGATTAATCGGTTAGAAAATTAGTTGACGATTAATTCAATATGGGCTGCTCAGTGGCGGAGTGGGTAGCGCTGCTGCCTTGCAGCAGAAAGTTCTGGGTTTGATTCCCACCCTGGGTCTTTCTGCAGAGTTTGAATGTTCTCCCTGAGCATGCGTGGGTTCTCTCTGGGTACTCTGACTTCCTCCTATCTAATTATCTCAGCCCAATGGCAAATCATCTTATTTACCTACTCAAATTAAGGTTAAATATACTTTTTTTGAGAATGTTTTACTTATTTCTAGTTTTTTGCATTTTGTAAAACAGAGTAAATGTTCCTCTCTGATTTTTAAATAATGTGTGATTTAACTCTTCCTTGGTGTGTGTTTGTCACAGTGGGACTCATGGCTACATGGCTCCAGAGGTCCTCCAGAAGGGAACGGCGTACGACAGCAGCGCAGACTGGTTCTCTTTGGGCTGCATGCTCTTCAAACTCCTCAGAGGGTAAAAAGCTGCAGCTTTCCTCGCCGCTCTCATCCCCTTACCTTCTCCTTATCGCCCTCCTCTGCCACGCTCTCCACTCCCTCCACATCCTGACTTCCTGAACGCTTTGAAAGCTCTTCTGGCACTTAGCGCGAGCCTCTTTGAGTCCGCTCACATCCCTTCTCTCAGAGTTCCTCTCGCCCGCCTTCTGTTTGCTGTGTTTTTGATCTTGTTTCTCTATGAGAGCCAGTGCGCGCGTGTGTTTGATCTGGAGTGTGTAAATGCCAGAGGTCTGGTCCCAGCAGGCCCAAATCCAGGGAAAGGTGTGTGAGGTGACTTTCCATTGATGTTTGAATCTAAAGAGGAAGAGTTGGTGTGAGACGGAGAGAGAGACAGCTGGATGTTTCCAGCATGAGGAACCACTGAAATACCTCTTAATCAGCGCTCCTGCTGAAGCTCCTGTTCCCCAAGCTGTGATGCAGTCAGTCATTACCTGGAAATCTGACTTTTTCAGAACTGAGCAGTAAATTGTCTTCCTGTGAAAATTAACATATTTTAATGGAATTCAAAATGGGTGTGGCCAAATGACTCTACAGCGCCCTCTAAAGTGAGAAGGGGAAAACCATAAGTAGCAGAGATTTGAGATTTGGCAGGAATGTAGATCAGAGTTTGGTCAAAAGGCCACACATGTAGCGAATACTGAAAGCTGCATGAAGGTGAAGGTTCAGTCCAAAAAAGTAAAAAAACAATCCACTGGACTTTGTTTCCCAGTTTAAAGATGTTTTGCTTCCCATCCAGGAAGCTTTTCAATTAAAAATGTCAGAAATAGCGTCGACTTCGAGGCTTTGAAGAGTAGACCAACAAAGCCTTGATTTTGCAAATTGAAACAGACGAACGGGTCCACCCCTTTGGAATGGGGGTTGCTGGGCGTCTTTAGTTAGCCTCCAATGTTCCATACCTGTCTGTCTCTTAAAGAGGGGTCGTTAAAGGGAATTGTTGGCCTGGCTGGATATTATTCCACGCCACAACGCATGAGTGGACAATCAGGAACTAGCTACGGTCCAGGCGGTGAGGGAGTTGGGGCAAGTTTGTGCGACAATGGAGGGACATGAGGGTGAAAAAGAGTGGGAATCCAGGATGAAAAAGGGTCCCAGCTTTCTCTCACACCTCACTCTTCTAGCTGGTCCATCTTCACGAGTCTTTTTCCACAATGGCGGTCATACAAACAAAACAAGCCGGTAAGGTACCAAACTGGAAATGCGCATAGTGTAGAGCTGATGTAGATTTGACCAATCAGAGGCCTGCTGTCTGCGGCACTGTCTGCGGTAACCTACAGTTTTGGAGAGGTGCAGCAGAGTGTCTGCGAAATGCACGGACGACCTGGTTTCTGTGTATAAATCAGCCGTAAGGCTGCAGAAGCTCCCGACTCGGCACACGGACGCTGCGTGATGTTATTGTTTTCTAGGCAACCCCAATGTTTTACATCATGCGGCAACGTTCAGCCAATCATCTAGCGCAACGTCACTGGCATGTGCAGAACTCAAGCAGATCTGGTCCCTACACCCTCAGATTAGGACATCCACTGGATGGATGGATGTGACTCGTACAGAAACAACCTCTACATCCAGATAGTCTTTTTACACTGAGCTCTGATCATTAAAGTTATTCTAATCTGCAAATATTAAATGATCTTTAAATAAAACCAAACTATTTTTTGTTAAATATCTGCTGTAGGACCCACATACCGGCTGTCGCAGGTTCGAGTCCCAGTCCTGCTGACCTTTGCTTGATGTCTCTCTCCTCTCCTCTAACCTCCCTTTCCTTTCTCAAGGAAAGGACACTAGAAAAAATCCAAACCAAACCTCCTGACGACTGGTTAGAAATCAACATGGAATATGGGACCATATTGAGGTTTTATGCGATGGCGCCATTAAAGCTGTTGTTTTTGTTAAACCTGCAGCACCTTCACTCCCTCACGCTGTCGGTTAAACAGCCCTCAACTCTCTGACACACTTCTGGTTCTGACTGGACTCCTGGTTCTGCTGCAGCCCAAGTCTCACTCTTCGTCTTGTTCTCAGCAGCCGTTTCTTTCAACGTTCAGCCTTTTTTTCTGCTCAGACACAGTTACTCGTCTCTCTTCTTTCAAGGTAACCCTTGGCAACAGAAGTAGACAATGGGTCGCTCTTTTTTAAGCAACCGGTCTGGTTAGATGGATGGTTTCAGCTGGACGAGTCCAGCTTGGAGTCGATCGTTTTGTCGCTGCAGAAATACAACGGATATATTCTTTAGTCGGAAAGGAATGTTTTTAATCAGTTCTTCTTTTTTTTAATCCATTGCATTTATTCAGAAACCGATGCAAAAGCGCAGAGTTTTAACACATTCATGACCGGGTCTAACTGTGATGACGGATAAAACATCCAGGCTTTCTGAGTCAAATATGGGTCTGTTCAGAATGATTAGGCTGCAGCTTTTATAAACACAGTTTCACATTTTAACTTAGAGGGGAGGAGAGTGGCCTGTTTGGAAAAGAGCCAGTTAGGTGATGTTGCTTCTTTGCAGCCGCTTTCTTCCCTCTTTCCCCTCACTTCATCTCCTTCTTACTGTTTCCACTTGTCTTCAGTGACGTTATCAGGCTCTCCTGTCTGTCCTCTGCAGGCACAGCCCCTTCAGACAGCACAAGACCAAAGACAAACATGAGATAGACCGCATGACGCTGACCATGGTAAGACATGTCCCTGCAGCTGCAGGTAGACCTTCATTACACCTCCAACCTCCTCTCTGTAAACACGCTATAAAGACTGGAGGCAATATGAGTCTTTACTCAAGTCAACTTCACTTAATTCCACATGCACACAATATTTTATGGATGCACAAATGAAGTGAGCAGAGTCCAAACGGAGCTGCGATCAGGTCGAAGTTGCTCTACAGATAGAAATGTTTCCATGATCAGTGGAAGAAAAAAAAGATCCAGCTCTGCTCACTGGGTCAGAGGTCATCGCAACGCCTCCAGTGACTTGTAGGCAAAGTATTCACACCCCATCAACTTTATCATGTATGCAACACATTTTTATACTTAAGAAAAATGTTGGACCTGAAACTATTAACAACATTAATAAATTTTGAAATAATTATAGTAAATATATTATAGTAATTTACTAATTTAAGGGTTAAATTCATCATACAGACTTTAAAAACCTGCTGAGAGAAAAACAGACTTGGAGCAGAAGTTAGGTTAACTGAAAAGTCCGGTCAGCAAGGAATAATCAATGGATCATTATACCTAAAACTAACATGTTTGCAGTGATTTAATGAATTTAATGTTAATCAGTAACCAAATAAAAACAATATTTTTTGCCGCGATGACTGAGTCTGGGAGCGGCCATTTTTGCCCAAATATAGTAATACCTCCCTCCTGCCGTTTTCCAGCAGTGATGTCACGGTGCGGTAAGCCTAGCGCCATTCTCCCCGCTTTACAAGCAAAATCAATGAGAACTACTAGACACATCTGCAATCAACAACAATTATTGAAGATTTCCAGAGGACTTCACCATTGAAATTCACCAGAGCTATAGTTAATAGTTGTAATACATCGGGTAAAAGTGAAAAAGAATATTAATTATTTCACCTTTCCGATTCCTGATCCTCCATGGACGGGTTCGTTGTTGCATTGCCAACTGGAAGAGGGAGGATTTGCCATCAAACTTCTGGCCAGAGAAAAAACCCTTAATAAGTAGCCAACATTTGTAAGAAGAATGTTTTCAAGAATACTTGGATAATAGCGCGTTGTGACAAACACCAGATACAGCACTGGGACTTGATCAACAGCCGATACCGCACCGTGACGTCACAAACCAGTAGGTGGCAGTAGTGTTCTTTGACAAACATGGATGCCTCCAGTAAAGCACATTGAAATGAAATTACTCTGAATTAAAAACACTTATCATTTATTGAACAGTATGTAATAATTTCATATTTAAAATACTTTCAGAAGTTTGAATTCTTTATATGAGCGGACTATTCCTTTAACAAAAAATATATACAACACATTTTTATACTAATGAAAAAAATGGACCTGAAACCATTAACAATATTAATCAATTATTGAAATAATGTCAAGTAATTTGGTAATTTAAGGGTTAAATTCATGTATAAACCTGCTGAGAGAAAAACCGACTCGGAGCAGAAATGAAGTTAAAACTTTATCGAAAAATATAAACATTTTCCATTTTAGATTGTAAAAGTAGCTTCTTTGTAAATATGCTTTATTTGGATCCCTGGTGATATTCTGTTAAAGCAGCACTGGTTTAATTCTGATCCAACTGTTTTTCCAGATTAATCAATAGATTAATGGATTACAGAACTAATCGATAACTGCACCCATAAAGCTAACAGCTGTTGGTGGAGCTCTGCTCAGAGCTGGTTTTATAGTAAACTAGGAGAAAACGAGGATTTGATTGGCATCAAATTGTTCAGGAAGTTGGACGTCTGCGCTGCTGAAAGCATCAGTTCAGTTTATTTCTAAAGCTCCAATTCACATCAAGTCATCTCAAGGCACTTTACAGTTCACCAGATCACCCAGTCAGATTTATTCAAAGTTTTTATCTAAGGAAAACCAGCTGATTGCATCGACTCATTGACTTGAAGGCAATCCCTCACATTAAGCATGCTTGTAGCGACAGTGGAGAGGAAAACCTCCCTTTTAACAGAAGAAGAAACCTCCAACAGAACCAGGCTCAGTGTGAGCGGCCATCTGCTGAGGCCGACTGGGGTTCAAGGAGACAGAAGCAGAGATACAAAAAGCAACTGTAAAAAGTGGCCCTGTCCAGGAAACACACAGCCAGGCAGAAAAACAGACAGTGACTGAGAAAAAACCTCCAAATTTAGCCTGTTATGTGTTTATCATGAGAATTTACACAGGAATCCGCTATACAGGAAACACGGTGATGGCAGCATCATGCTGTGTGGATTCCTGTCTGCAGCAGGGACAGGCTAGCTCAGGGCTGTAGAGGAATAAAGAAGAAATGGCTGAAATGCTCCGCTGGACTTTCCTTTGCTTCTCTGTCTGATCCATCTGCTTTAGATGCCATGATGAGTCACGCTCAGGGTGACTTACATCCATCCAGCCCACTGACACCATGTGCCTCAGTCTGAACCAGCATTTGATGCATCCAAAGTGGACCTAATCGAGTCCAGTTCATTCATGACCCCCCCTCCCATTTCCCACCGTTTGCAAGAGTAGGATGTCTAAACAGAGAAAGTATGATCCCAATAAACCCAGATTAGGATTTAAATCTAGCCACTCAATCTGGTTTATCCTCTAACGCAGATAATCTGGGTGTGAGAGAGATGGCTGCCAGCGGCTGTGTGAAAGACTGTGAGAGAAAACGGTCTAAAAATACGGCCCTGGTCGTCTGTGTGTTTATTAAAGATGAGGAATGACCCTGCTGCATAAAGAAGAAGGAAGCAGACACCTGGGGGGGAGAGATGGATGGAGCGGGGCCCGCTCGCTGGCACCTCTGCTCTCTGAAACATCTCCATTCAGCAGCAGACAAACGAGCTGCGGCAAAGATTCTGTCAGAGAAGGTTGCTTTCGACGCTCATTACATCAGACCTTCTCAACCGGTTCCCTCATGAGACTCGCTGCTCCATGTTTCCTTTCTGGTTCAGTTTTCTCTTCTTCCATCTCGATGCAGTGGATGGTTTTCTCCTAAATCATTCCTTCTCTGTGAAATTCAGCCTTAATGTTTTGTTTGGCTGTTTTGCTGGTTTTCCAGCTTCCCCGCGGCCCCCTGATCAGCCTGGGTTGGATTTCCTGTTGGCTGCTCTGTTCACAGGAGCCTTCATCTTTAACATGGATATCAATCAGTTCTCCAAACAGATCCGCCATCAGAGCATTGAACCCACTGATCTACATTCACTGGATTGCTGATAGAACGTCGGTAGTACAGGTTGGAGTGAAGCCACCGGGAGCCATATTGGTACCCTCTAGTTAGACTGGTCGCTACAGCATCAAACATGATGATGTTCTCCTTTTCAGGGGAGCGTAACGCTTTTAAAATAAAGATAAATTAATTATTTTAACACACACTGGCTGTTTCATAGCATCAGCATTATACAAAGAAAATCGGCACATCACATTGCATAGTCATTATGAAGTCAATGGTCATGCAAGCTAACACTAACTCAACGATGAGTTTATTACTTTAATTTTTCTGTAGCTGAGTTAGCGTTAGCCTGCATGATCGGCTCCGTGATGCTGGTTTACCTACAGTATAAGCGTCACAAGCGTCACGTCACGTGACTAAGAAAACCTAACGGGATTGGCTGGGTGTTGGACACCACAATCCATTGCTAATGCCTGTGAACTGAAGTAACCCTTCCCTCTTTACACTGAATTTAGACGTCAATTTAACATGCAATATATTTCAGCTCATGACTTTTTACAATGAGAAATACAACAAACAAAAACGACAGCGTCATCCAACTAATAATGAATTATTACATTGACATTTCAGTTGATTACTTTCTATTTACTCCACTTTCTATTTTCTAACTTTAGACACAATGTCAATGGCTAATAGCCGGACTAATGTTACGCCACATACTATACTTTGGGACACATCAGCGTATGTGTGGATTTCCTTGGTTAGTTCATCCACTGACAGTGAAATTACCAGTGGAACAATTTTCCCACAACAAAGGAGCTGCTTGGTTTTGCAGCCAAATGCTAAACCTGTAGGCCTTTTTACTGCGCATCTCCGTGGGACTGGGGAGTACCAATATGGTGGCCAATGACTTCACGTTTTTTAGGCTATCAGCAATCCAGTGAATAAATAGAGATGAGTGGTTGAACCCAGTCCTTTCAGCAGCATGTTGGTTCCCTTTCTATTGGCTCAAAAGCTGCTGATCTTCCTTAGGGCGCCTGGGATTGTGGGTATGGGAGAACCTAATGCCAGGATTAAAGGCGTGCTTAGATGAGTTTGTCCACATCTGGAATCACACAGAACCTGCAGGTTTAGTTTTTTCGGTTGTTGAGACAAACATGGAAAAAAAACAAAAAGGATTCCTTACTTTGAAAATGCAAACCTATTAAATATTTTTCTCGGTATAAAGATGCAGTTTGAGCTCCACGGTAATCACTGTTAGGTTTTAATGTTGCGTCTATAATCCGCAGTTAAGCTGCAGGCAGGATTAACTCTGCTCTAGCACCTGGGTTATCATCCAGGTGGGATGAAGAAACACATCCTCAGCTGGAACCAGATGTTTACATTTAGAAAAAGATTTTGGTTTTGAAGTGATTGTTTAGGCCAGTGGAGACAAACTCAGAAAGCTTTGGCCTATGTTCACACTGCAGGTCCACTTTTGATCAAATGCAGTTTTTGAGACATCCGTAAACGGCGGCGCGCTGTTTACAGATGTCAGGACAGAGGTTGACATCAGCCGACAATAATGATCCCATCATAAGACAGAGAAAGTTAAGAAAAAAGAGATCAGAGCTGTTTCCAGTGCTTTTTTTGTGGAGCAGTGATTCCTCTGCTGGAGGGAGAGTCTGAATGAGTGAGAAGTCGGAGCCTTGAGAGGAAATGAAACACGAGGACACTTTTAAAACAACCGATACGTTTCACATGTGGAAATGGCCTCATCTGACCTTTGGAAACTTTCAGAAAAGTCAGAAATGAGCCACGTATGCACAATAAAATCTGATCTGGGTCACATATGCCTGCAGTGTGAATGTAGATATAGATCCTTCCCTGCTTCAACACTTCTGAATCAAAAGGCTCCTTAATAAGTTCTCAAAAGACTAATGATCTGATTATTTGACGTCAAAAAAAGTTATTTCTTCTCAGTTATGCTAAGTTTAGACCGCATGCAGCAGGAGAACCAAAAACCCGCGTGCTGCTTCATTTTTGATGCTTGTTCAAGTGTAGTTCTGACCAGCAGCTAAAGCATCTTTGCTGCTCTAGCTGTGCGGTCTAAAAGCGGTTCTGATGCGCTATGGGCTGAGCTGCCCAAACCTTTCTCTTCCTGTAACAATGGCAGCTATATTTTCTGTAATCAGAAGGTAAAAAGTAGTCTTTTATATGTTTTTCAGTGAGAAAGTTGACCTGAAAACTTAATCTGTGCAGTCAGTTCATCCAGATTACAATCCTGCCTTCAAATATTGTTTCACTGTCAGAGCCGCTCAGACCCCCGTACACCAGCGCTGCTCTGTCACTGGGAATCCCATTCAATGGCAGCCTCTGGCCCGGTCCCCTCTTCGCGGTTTTCTGCTACTATAATCCATACTGCAGGTGCCAGAATAATAAAATCCAACATATTTTAGGAGGCGCTGCTTAAAACACGCTGCAGGACCTTTTGCTGTGCCTTAATTGGAGTCAACCGTTGACTTTTCATTTGAACTAGCTGCTTCTGCTGCTTGCGGTCTGAACGTAGCATTGCTGTTTGAGATAAAATTAGATTCCTGTCCTAATCGGTTTATTTTATTTTAGACATATTAAAAAACAAAAGAATTTATCAATTAATATCTATAAATATATCTGTAAATATGTAAATGCTGATTCACTCACCTGCACACATAGATGATGCGTACGTATCAGATAAGAAAAGTAATAAGTTTACCTCTGCTTATCTGCCTGAAAAGGAGACATAAACGTGTTCAACTTTGGCTCTTATCTATATTTAATGTATTATATCCTTGTTTAAACTCCTTAGTCGTCAGTTCTGTGTAAATAAAACTCTGTTTTCAGGTGGTGGGAATTAACTGTATGGATATGAATTTAAAACCAGACAATGAAAGATTAGAATGAAGATAAAAATTAAAAAAAGAAAAACAGCCTAAAAAAATTAATAAATTTGATAAAATAATGTTTGGACTGTCGATCATCTATATAGTTTTACAATAGTGAAAAATAATGAATAAAAGGCCTAAATGGTATTAACATTAATAATACAGGAACGAGCATCACTTCATAGTGTTATTACACATTTACATGAACGCGCTTCGTCCTAAAATAAATGTTTAGTCTTTGGTTCTAAAATCAGTCTGTTTGGGTTTGAATCAGAAAGAAAGTTTGATGGTTTAATTTATCCTAATATATACTGTCGCTGGTGCAGAGCAGCTCAATAAAAAGCGTTTTGCTGCCACCTAGAGGCTGGAGGTTTAAGAGTCAGAAAATACATTTTAGTTCCAGCTGTTCTGCTCTGAGGAGTGGGCTAAAATCCAAACTATCACCAGAAACTTGTGGAATTCTGCTTTTTAGCTAAGTTTGACTAAATGATGAAGAATTTGTCCTAAATTGATTCATTTGAAGAAGAGAAAAAGTAGATATTTAACTGTGTTGTGATCCTGTTAAGCAATTGAATTCAGTTTATTTATATAGCGCCAATTCACAACACGTTATTTCAAAGCATTTTACAGTTCACCAGTACAGTCAAATTGAAAAGTTTCAAACAGGAACAGACCAGATGAAGCTACTCTTAGAAAAACTATAGCGATCAGAATGTTAGAGATTTAACAAACATATTCTGTGGAGTGGGAGAATAGAGATAGAATGATAAAAAAGTGGTCCCTATGTCCTCCAGCAGTCTAAGCCTATAGCAGCATAACTATAGAGATAGCTCAGGATAACCTGAGCCACTCTAACTATAAGCTTTATCAAAAAGGAAAGTTTTAAGCCTAGCCTTAAAAGCAGGCTTGTTATCTAGCAAACATAATGATGTTAATCCCTGTTGACTCAAAACACAAGGAGTTTGATTTAGACAGTGGGAGGGAAAAAAGACTCTGCTCTTCATAGTGTGAACAAATATGAGGTTTCATCTGAATTCTTGTTTGTGTAAAACTGCGCCGATCCATCCTGAGACCTCTCACTCTGACGTTCCTTTCCTCTTTCTTCTGTTCCACGCAGAATGTGGAGCTGCCGGACTCATTCACCCCAGAGCTAAAAGATCTCCTGGAGGGGTTGCTGCAAAGGGATGTGTCCAAGCGGCTGGGATGCCAGGGCCGAGGGTATGAACCCGTCATGCTCACAGAGCAGCTTAGCAGTTAGCTTTGAGGTGGGAATGGTTAGGACTGGAGTCACTGGGGGATCACTGGAACTCAGCTCGGTTCTTCAGTGGTTTTATTTTATATCTGCATGACTGAAAGACAAATTTATTAGCTTTCTGTGCAACGCTGCCACCTAGTGCTGATGTGAAGTCTAACAGTTGGGTTTGTGTTCCCCACACCTGCAGAGCACTAGAGGTGAAGGAGCACATGTTTTTCAAAGGTATCGACTGGCAGCAGGTGTACCTGCAGAAGGTGAGTGAGCCTCCTCCCTTTGTTTTCACCTTTGATTTCTCTCTGAGCTGCTGGCGACTTTTTCCTTCTGCATTTATGAAAGCTGTATAAAAATTATTTTTATTTAACAGATGAGCAGTCAGAACTCCATGCCCCTGATTTAGCTGTTTATTTTGGGTTATTTTGAAGTCAAAAAGAAACCTGAAATGCTCGCTGAACGCTAAACGTAACCTCTATCATCAGAGTCAGACTTAACTGTCAGCGAAAGCTGTATTATTCAGAAATCATTTTGATGTATTCCAAAAATTAATAATGTCAGAAAATATCAGCCTGCATCTAAAATCTTAAATATTAGATAGAAACTCTGCTTCTCCTTAAAGCCTACGTAAGCCACTGGTTAATAATAAATGGGTCAGTTCTTCTCTAAGGTGTCTGAGGGATGCAAACGTGTAAATCTTTGATTTCACAGCAAATTCAAAATTCAATTCAGATTATTTCTATAGCGCCAATTTACAACACACGTTATCTCAACGCACTTTACAGTTAAACCAGATCATCCAGTCAAATTGATTCAAAGTTTTCTAAGGAAAACCAGTTGATTGCATCGACTCATTGACTCGAAGGCAATCCCTCACACTAAGCATGCTTGTAGTGACAGTGGGGAGGAAAAACTCCCTTTTAACAGGAAGAAACCTCCAGCAGAACCAGGCTCGGTGTGAGCGGCCATCTGGGGTTCAAGGAGACAGAAGCAGAGATACAGAAAGAAGCAGTCAGAGGCCAGTCACAGTCAGAGAAACAGGACTACACTGAAAAACAGCCCGATCTCCAGCATCTATAAACAAAGGTGTTTATTGCAGCAGCACAGCTGATATTTTTCTCCAGGATGGAGTCACAGCCAAACAGGAACAGACCAGATTAAGCTAATATGATGAGAAAAAGCAGAGAGCATAACATTAGAGATTGAACTAACAAATTCTGCAGTGGGAGAATAGAGAAAGAATGAAGCAGAATGACGAAAAAGGGGTCCCTATGTCCTCCAGAAGTCTAATCCTATAGCAGCATTACTGTAGAGATAGCTTAGAATAAAAGGACATGAAAACTAGTTAGAAAGCACATAATAAACTATAAGAAAAAAATTCTGCAAATTTAAAAAAAAAAAAACAACAACTTCAAGTTAGGAAGCTGCAAACTTGAAGAGCTGCAGACCACTAGGGGGAGCCGTTCATCAGGTCATAAACATTACTATAGATAAATATTTATGGACTCTAAGCAAAATGATAACGGGATGCCGTCCATACGACTTCTGAAGGGAAGGAAGAGAAGGCAAATTTTCCTCTGAATCTCATTTTAAACATTTATTCTCTCTAAAGGTGCGTTTGCATCAAACAGTTTACCAGCTGGACTGAATGATTTGTTTTGCTGGAGAGCGGCGAGTTTTTGGCCAATTCAGCAGAGCGGGCCCCCTGCTAAGTACGCAGGGTGAAGTTAACAGGGATCTAAAAATCTTTTGTTTACATTAGGTTAAAAAATAAAATCAGAAATAATTCAGTCAGATGGGGGGGTGAGACTATGGAGGACGAGGATTCAGTCTGAAATTGGAAACAATGAGATCTTGTATGACGGCAGAAAGGAGAAGAAATGAGAGCAGCTGTTTGGAGGCAGCCTGATCCTGTTCCCAATGCTGTCCTCGGACATAGGAGACATGACGGCTAATCTGTCCAAAGCATTTCTATGATTACTGCAGATTTACCAGAAATTGTTGCTCTTTCACTTGACCATCTTCTCTCTGTTTCCCCACTGCAGTACCCCCCTCCTCTAATCCCACCCAGGGGAGAGGTGAATGCTGCCGATGCTTTTGACATTGGCTCGTTTGACGAGGAGGACACCAAGGGCATCAAGGTATAAAAGACTAAAGCCTCCAAACGCTACATTTCACAATGCAGCTTCTGACGGGATCCAGAGAATCTATCAGTGGACTCAGCTTCTCCCTTTGACCCTCACTGCTCCCGTCTTTACCTGCAGCAGAGATCAAATCATTATGGACTCATCCATATCAGTATCGGTCCCAGTACTGAAGCAGGTTCTAAACCCAGTATCATTAAAAAACGGACCAGAACCATCAGGCCAGATCTGTTCAGTCTTTAATGTTCAAATTCTCTCACACAAGAAAGTTTGCTTCTTTATTGTAATCTGCTGTTTTAATCAGAGTTTGGCCGATACAGGGTGTCTGTTCTGATACTGATTATTTTGACTCTGTCTAACCCAGGGGGGGTCACATTAGGGGCAACCTTTAGGTTCTTCCTTGGTCTAACACACCTGAATAAAGTAATCAGATGATTGAGACTCTGGAGAACTTGCCTACATCCTGAGGAGGTAAGTCAGCTATGTTGGACCAAGAATGAATCAGGAAGTCGCTCAGGAACTAGACTGATCCCCCTCTGGTCTAACTGATCCTGATCCATTGCTTTGCTTCCTCCATTTACATGATAGATGGGCACAAGCATATATGGTCAGAAAGTCTCAATTAAAACAAAGAAAGATCTCTTATGGGATCAAAGAAAACATTAAAGGATAGAAAATGGAGGGAATGATGACAATGGTTTAGCTGATCTCAGGACAGGGTTTCCGCAGGTCATTAAAAATCATTAAAAGTCATTAAATAATTTTTTTTAATTAAGGCCTTAATTTGCATTAAAATTAAAAGATGATTGTGGCATTGAAAAAAAAAACGTTTATGCAAAAAATTTCTTCAGATATATCAGACTGCCTCCAGTTGATCGTAAAGCCGTACGTTTGGAAAAGAAGCTCTAGGCGGAGAAAAAGCTAGAGAATGGGAAAAAGCTAATTTCAACAAAAGTGGCTGGAAAACGAGGAATTGGGGACATGGCCAGCCACACATGAACGGATATAAGGAAATGGCTAATATCAGTTATCAATCTGCTTCTAGATTTATCCCCACCTCCTCTGACCTACTAATCCCAATTGCCTTCTGTTGAATACATGTGTGCTTATGGCCGCCTCCTACATGATGACATTACAGCAAACAGAGTTTTAGTTTCAGAAAACTATCAGCATCAGCAGAGATCTAAGTATCAGAATCAAATCAGAAGTGAAAAAGCTTGGATCAGTGTTTTATGTTCATGGTAAATAATCCAGTTTAGATGCAATTTTGTTTATTTTATAGATTTTGACTCACAGATTATCAAATGCCCTCATATGAATTTCAAAACCTTAGAAAACCTGCAGTTACTAACGCAGTTACCTTTTTTTTTAGTAAAGAGTAATCTAACTAATTACTTTGACTGTAACTATAACACAGTTACATTTGCAGACACCCCGTTACTGCGCGTTACTCAGGTCGCACAATCAACCTTTTTTCATAATAGGACTCTTGCGCGCCTTGTCATGAGAGAGGGGAGGATGATAATGGCTGATGTATAGTGAGATTCCGTCTGTCAGTTGGGTAGGTGGGTGTTTCTGCTGGTGGGTGTTAACGTACAGCACACACAGAGAGATGGAGAGTGAGGAGGACTCCAGCAGCAAAACAGCGTTTTCCTGATGGAAATACCGGTGTTACGTCGAGCTGCGTTTCCCCTGCATCTCCGCACAGCGAGAATGATCAAATGTTAGCCTATAGGGAGAAATCGGGATGGATGGACGGACAGACAGACAGATGGATGTTGCAGTATCTATAACAACCCCTATAAGAAGAGTCATTTACGTTGAGTTGCAATAAATGCAAAACTCTCTGCAGGTTCTTGTCTTTGTTGCCGCTCTATTCAGCTGGCTTTGAAACACACGGCGAGAAGGTGGGGGCTGGGTGGTGAGGGTTACGGGGGCGAGAAACACAGAATTAACGCAGTAGTTACTTTTACTAGTAACTAGTTACTTTTATTGTGGAGTAACTCAGTAACTCAGTTTTTGGGAGAAGTAACTAGTAAATTTAACTAATTACTCTTTCAAAGTAACGTCCCCAACACTGATCATCAGACATCAGAAGTGGGCTCCGTTTTCTGGCTCCGCCTTTAGAATAGTTCTGGTTCTGATGGGTTCCTTTCCGATGACTTCTGATTTTCCTGTTCTCCAAATAAAGAGCAGTCAGTGGATGAGATGAGAAAAAGATTCAGTTCCACGATTTTAGTGTAACTTAAGAGGAGGATTTTTTCCAAATGATGTTGCATCCTGCCTGCTAATCTTCATATCTTAAAGATTATGTCCTGAATTTGTCAGAAAGCACTAGAGAGAGCAGCAGGATCCTGCAGGTGGGCTGAAGCGGTGAATTTCTGCTAACTCTGCCCCTCTGCCTCCCGTCTCTCCTGCAGCTGCTGGACAGCGACCAGGAGCTGTATAAGAACTTCCCTCTGGTCATATCGGAGCGCTGGCAGCAGGAGGTGGCAGAGACTGTCTACGAGGCCGTCAACCAGGACACCGACAAGATAGAGGCCCGCAAGAGGGCCAAGAACAAGCAGCTGGGCCACGAGGAGGGTAAGGAGCCCAGCAGGAAGCAGCCTCCTCGCTGTGAGTAAAGACGTCCCTTTCTGAACACCTGTCTCTGTGTGTGTGCAGACTATGCATTGGGGAAGGACTGCATAATGCACGGCTACATGCTGAAGCTGGGGAACCCGTTCCTCACCCAGTGGCAGCGCCGCTACTTCTACCTGTTCCCCAACCGAGTGGAGTGGAGGGGAGAGGGCGAGTCACGGGTGAGTGGGCAGCCGTCCCCCTTCATCCTCACACCGTCTGTCTGTTTCTGAGTCTTTCTGTGTGTGAATATCGTTTGTCTCTCTGCCCGTTTGTTTCATCTCACCTCTGAAGGAGAACTGGCTTAAACCCTTAAAATTGCTAAAAGACAGGGTGAGTGTGTCTGCCGTCCTTCTGTAACTCGCCCAAAGCCGTGGCTCACCTCCCCGCTTCCTACATAGCACTTCCTGTTTCCAGCCGCTAGATGGAGAGGAACCTTCCCTTAGTGCCTCCTAGTTGGCCTCGTTAGGTCTCTGGCGTCTTTAGCTTGCAGCCTTTTATAACCTCAGGTGCCTTCAGGAGCGGCTCGTAAGAGAAACAAGAGTTTAAGAGAAAAATAAAACCACTTCCAGCCTCCTTCCTGCCATGCCTGGGAAAAAGGTTAGACTGGTTTCAGAATGAAAGGGGGAAAAAAAGTGACAAATGACCATCCATCCATCCATCCATCCTTCCTTCCTTCCTTTCTTCCTTCCTTCCATCCATCCATCACTCCTTCCTTCCTTCAATCCATCCTACCTTCCTTCCTTCCTTCCTTTCATCTATCCATCCATCCTTCTTTCCATCCTTCCTTCCATCCATCCATCCATCCATCCTACCTTCCATCCATCCATCCATCCTACCTTCCATCCTACCTTCCATCCTTCCTTCCATCCTACCTTCCTTCCTTCCATCCTTCCTTCCATCCTACCTTCCATCCTTCCTTCCTTCCTTCCTTCCATCCTACCT